GCCGTTCACTGTTCTGGAGGCCGTTGTTCATTTCACTGGCGCAACTACTAGCATTAGAAACAGCGGGTGTCTCTGGGGCAGAGACAGGGTCCTGTGTGTGACCCAGATGTTTGGTGTGCTGTACCCTACAGGTGTATGCCATCTTAGTGAGCCACCCACCAGCTCCAAATGACCACTTGACACCAACTCCAGTGTCATACACAGCAGGGTTCTATCGGATTCCTGTCCTTGGGCTGACAACTCGCATGTCCATATATTCAGATAAGGTAACGAACTCATTATTATCCTGACGACTGTTATTATTACTGTTGATACTAGGGTGCATATATTAGGATAAGAGATAGAATATTCTCTCACGTCTTGTGTTGTAATTTAAATTCCTTGTTTCTTGTCCGTCCCCTAGGACAATTCTGAGCCCTCAAATTTACACAGCATTCCTTCAGATACTTGAAGACAACCATCGTGTCTCCCTGTAGTCTCCCCTTCTCCACGATAAACATACCAGCACCATCAACTTTTTTTTTATAAGTTTTTTTCCTTCCAAGCCCTCTGTCATCTTGGCTGTTGTCTTCTAGATCAGGGGTCACCAACCTTTTGGACCTCAGGGACCACCAAACTCATATTTTTAAATCCCACGGACCAGAGACCCTGGGAAAATCCCCCCAAAAGTCTGCAGGAAAATTCTCCACCCCATTTTCCTACCGATCGATTGTTCTTTATTTGGGATCCCAGCTCCGTTCTCAGGGGGAGAGAGAGAGAGAGAGAGACTTTTGGCTTCATGCAAGGAAAGCAGCAGAAGCAGCAGAAGTCTTTCTTTCTCTCCCCCAAACTCCACCAGAAATGAGTCTTTGCCGGCACAGCCTCTTGGAGCAGGAGGCCTTGCAGGGTCCCAAAGACTCATTTCTGGCAGAGTTTAGGGGAGAGAAAGAAAGACTTTTGCTGCTTTCCTTGCGTGCAGCCAAAAGCAGAAGAAGAAAGAAGCAGAAAGAAGCAGCCCGGTGGCCAGGCGAGGTGCGTGGGGCATGTGGGGCAAGTTCCCCCCTCCGCCCTTTCCCCCCTCCCCTCACTACCTCATGTTGTTCGCAATGCAAGTGACGCAAGCCTTGTGTTCCCGCAAGCCATGTGGGCAGCACAGCCTTGTGTTCCCGCACAGCCTGGATTAATTGCTTTGGGGGGGGGGGACATTTCTCTGCGGACCACCAAAATTTCCTTGCGGGCGACCAGTGGTCCCTGGCCCACTGGTTGGCAGCCACTGTTCTAGACATGCTGATGACTTTCCTATTCCTAGAACTCAGAATAAGTAAGACAAGCCATTGAGAGACAAATGAAGAAGGAGTCCTTGCTTACCGCCTGAGAGTGATCTATAGATCTTTTAGTGGTCAGCCCAGGGAAACAAGATCTTTTCAAAAGCAATTAAGCTTTAGAAAGATCTATCAGGGCAAAGTAAAAGGCTTACAAACCATCCCTGGAGAACGAAATAAAAATCCTACAGTTTGTTTTCTGGATTCTCTATAAAGACGACCACTTGTGCGGAAAACCTTCCAACCAACCACCAATGTAGCTCTTTTCTTTTCAGACATTTGATTGGCTCCTGTCTTTCGCTTGCAGAGTATCCACCTGTCCTTCCTACGAACGGTGCCCCCTTACTCCCACCAGTCCAACGTTTGGTTCGAGATGATGCGCTTTTACAAGTGGAACCATATCATCCTCATTGTCAGCGATGACCACGAAGGTCGGGCTGCCCAAAAGAAGCTGGAGACCCTCTTGGAAGAGAAGGAATCCAAGGTCAGTATCCCCCACGCTCCGCCGCCTAAACTTCTGTGGATACAGCAGAACCTTTAAAAGTCTCAGGCTTGTTGTATGTACGTAGAGCCGTGTATGTAAAACACCTTCTTTCTTCCCATTGTTAACACGACTAACATTATGCTTTAAGCATCAACGGTGTCTCTTGAGTAGTACCTAACGAAACTTTGTACTCTTATTCATTTCACTTGCTTTACCATGGTCGAAAACCTTCTGCATTAAAACAAAAAACAAAAAAAAGAGAGAGAGAAAAACAAAAAACATGCAAACGAAACCGGCAACAACTGTGAAATGAGGAGAAACATAACCTGGAGCTTTGCAAATCCCCCTTTTTCAATGGCGAGTGTGCTGATAAAGCGAAAGCTCTCCAGAGTAGCAAGGAAGCTATCCAAGGCCTCCTGGCTTCTTGTTGGCCAGCTGGGGTCAGAGAGAGAGAAAGAGAGCGTGAGAGAAAGAACATAAGAGAAAGAAAAGAAAAGAAAAAAAAAAAAGAAAAAAAGAGAGGAAGGAAGGAAGGAAGGAAGGAAGGAAGGAAGGAAGAAAGAAAGAAAGAAAGAAAGAAAGAAAGAAAGAAAGAGAAAATGGTTAGCTGAGCATCTCAAGTCCTAGTACTTCTGTGGGCTCCCTGATTCCAGAATACTTTAGGGGTCAGACTTGGTCTTGGACAGTAGCACAATCCTTGGCTTCCAGTTTCTTTCGCTTCCCAGCTTCCTTACATGCCTTTCTGCCTCTCCTGTTCTCCCTGAGCCTCTTCGACATCCCTTCTAAGCTCTCGCCCCTTTCTACAATGTATACTGCCAATCAATGTGCATCGTACGATTGACACACCCTCTTCCATAATCCAGTTCAGAGAAACTTAGAATGAGCATCTTCCTCCTCCCTGCAAAGCATTAAAATGTCACCTTTATTGTGATACAATAACTTGTAAGGCAAAAGTTTTCTTCCGTGTTAAAAAACAAAACAAAAACAGTAAATTATGGCGCAGAAGTGCTGTAGCCTTTTTCTACCGGCTGTTATTAACTCACTGGCTTCGTGGCCTTCTCTGGCGAACACAGCCAATAAAGAGAAATCAGAGCCATTTTCCCTCACGTCTAGACAGACCTCTGCAGGAAAGAGAGGGAGAATCACATCAAAAGATTCCCCTCCTCAACTAAATCCCTCTGCACACACAGACAACGAGCAGAGCAGGCAGAACTCTAGCTAAGAATGGCTGCTTTTCTATGTTTGAAAGGTTTTCCTTTAATAAATGGACAACACTCACTTATGAGATCTTACCCTGGCCCAGAAATGCCAAAATTCTGCAAATATCTAAGGACATGCCAGTCAAGAGGCACCCAGGCTCTCTTTACGAGTTGACCTACATAGATGAACTTGATTCCTGGGCACTGAATCCTCTTTGACCTGACAATGCTGGCTTTGCAGTGCCTTTAGACCAGCTGGGTTAATGACCATCTGGGTATTATATCAGATGCTCCCTGCAGCTGTCTCTGTAGCTCTTTTGCGGGGGACAGTCTTGATAAAGGGATCCATCTGATGAAATGGTCAGATGGCGAGACCAGCAGCCTGCGGCCAAAAAGGCGACTTTAGAGTAGGTCTCTCTCTTTCTCGCTTTCTCTCTCCTTTCACTGAGTTACTCAAAGGTCAGATAAGCCCTACTCCAACTTCTGAACAGCAGCAACAGAGCCAGCTGCCTTTCCTGCTCCCATCTGCTCTCTGGCTGTCAGCAGCTACATCGTAATAGACATACAGGGCTTTCTGGCCCTCAGGCCTGTATGAGGATCACCGTTTCCCTCCCCCCCCCGCTTCTAAAATTAAATGAACTGCCCTCCCCCAGACAACTTCTACCTGCATGAGCCATTCGCCCTGTGCTTGAAGCAAATATGGTATTTACTACTGGTATTTTAAGGAGGAAGCAATGTGTTATGTACGAGCAGTCCAAGCTATATACAGGCAGGGTGCAGAATGTGGCTCTGCCTTGGGTCAGAAAAAAGTGGTTCATTGAGACTAAGCCCCGGTCTTGAAGTCACTTTGAATGGCGCATAGAATCTTTTGTCTGTACACCCTGTCTGAGCAACATAGCCAGTGGTGGGATTCAGCCGGTTCTCACCGGTTGGTGAGAACCGGTTGTTAACTTTTTGAGCCGTTTGGTGAACTGGTTGTTGGAAGAAATCATTAGGGCAGAGAACCGGTTGTTCGATTATTTGAATCCCACCACTGAACATAACGAAACCAAAGCCCACTATAAATGAAGTCTAGAGTTGCCCCAAGTTTAGAAAACACTCTTCTAGACTAGAAGCGAGAGGGTATTTTTGAAAAGCTTCCCAACTTCTACCAGAGGCTCAGATGGCAGGGCAGAAGGCCAGAGCAGTGGATCCTGCAAAGACTCAGGGGGGCCCACCCTTTTTTTTTTTTTTTTTTTTTGCTGCTTTGACTGCATGGTCCTAGCCAGGATTGTTCCAAAGGATGGCTCGGTTCAGTGCTATCTAGCCAGTCCCATTAGGATTGCAACCCTCTGGGACGCTGCCTGTTCTCTAAGGGGATGTGGCTCGGCTCAGAGATCTCCCACGAAGCCCTGGCTATGACCCGTGGCATGGCATGTTAATGGCTTCCATGTACTTTCCATAAAAGAGGGTGTCCACCTTCCAGCAAACCTCCATTCCAATCATTGACTCTGAGACCAACATATCTCAAAAGTACTTTAATTAGAATAGTACCCGGCCCATCTGCGGCAACCCGAATCTAAAAGTTTTTTGGGGCTTTCCACAATTTCCCCAACTAAAAATCCATCTCCCCTTGGCCGTCATCACATCACATGGCCCAATCAACGATCCGTCCAAAAGTAAGATCCTTATTTCATCCTGCGCTATGCTAAAAGTGACCTTGGACTAACAAAAGAATTTTATTTTGTCTACTTAGAGCTACTTAATTGAAATCACACACACACACACACCCTTCCACTCTCCCAGGCTATGTGGCAGCGTGGAATAGGGCTTCCAGAGCTGATAGAGTAATCTCCCTGTCACCATAGTTCAGGAGAGGCTCCATTTCCAGAGCCTGTGTCCTTGTGAACCCTGGAACCAGCTGCGAATGGCGGTTTGGCCTTAGGAGTTTCAGGCGTAGACGATGGAGGGGAAACCTGGACTCCCTTCAATTTATTCCACCGAAGTTCTTCTCATGCTTCCCTCTCTCTCACTCTGAAAGCTGGAGGAGGCGATGAGAAGGAATGTCCCATTTCATCTTTGTGCATCCCCCCCACCTTGCATCTCTCTGCATCTGGCCTCCTTTTAGAGATCTTATTGGATGTCTGCACAGCCATCTGGAAAGCTGCTTATTCAGACCAGCTACTGGGATGACCCAAAGGGGCGTGGCACAAAAATAACAAAGTCACCAAAGTAGAATAAATTCCCTTTCATGCCTCCAACTTGGCCCCCACTGTGCACTTTTCCTCGGCTGGAGATCAAACTCTTCCAAAAAACAGTCTACAAAGGGAAGAAATGCAGTCCAAACTCAAAGTACAGATAAATTAGACGTTAAAAAAACCCAACACAAACCACACTGAAGTAATTAACACGGCAGGCCAGGGTAATAAATGGCAGACTTCCAAAAGATAACGCAGCACCCACGGTTGGGAGAACGCCAAAACCCAGATAAGCCTGGACAAAGATAATTCACGCTTTGCTTCCAGCAAGGTGCTGTGCGCAAACGCCCCTTCTTATATCCTGTTCTCCCAGCTGCAACTAATGAAAGGGATCAGGGCCCTTTTCTCTCCTGTAAGCCACGTTGCTCCCTTCTCCGTTCCTCCCTGCGTGCCCTAGGATGAAGAGGGGGTGGCCCTAAGACATAGCAAGCAAAAGGGGAGCCAGGTTCCACTGGGGAGGGGCCAGAGGCCCCCTTCTCTCCTGGGTTTTGCGTGCTCCAGGGTTATAGCATTCCCTTTTCACAAACAGTGGAGAAAGAGTTGGATATTGGATTGCTTTACTACACGTCATTTTTTTTCAGCTGTTTATAATATTCTTCTGTGTCTACATATTTTTTCTGTGCACATTATTCATCAGAGTAAAAAAAGGAACTATGACAGCCTCGAACAACTATCCTATGACAGCAAGCGAGGACCCAAGGTATATTTGCATGGACAATGCACGCCGCCCACCAACCTAACTAGCAAAATGATGAACTTGGCCACAGGCACAAGGAAAAATTAATTAAAAATCAAAATCAGAATCAAAAAAAATATGTACCAAGCAAGCGAGCAAACTCCATGTTTTTGGTAGCACGTTATTTTATGTTGGGATAAGTTTGTTTTGACCCTGAGAATGGAAATGTAGCAAGCCAGCCCTGGAAATATTTGTTTTGGAGACATGCATGTAAAGCAATAATCAACTTGCAAGTATTTTTTTTCTTTCTTTCTTGAAAAATTGAACCAATCCCTTCCTGCTGTCCTTTGCTTTCCTCTTCTCCCCCACCCCTCTGACAAAAAAGAAATGGTTCCTTGGTGTGAAACTTTCACTTTGATTCCCCACGTTCCCAAGATGAACCTTGTGCATTTTCAAAAATTTTGAGTTCCCCTGGTTTATTGTTTGGTTTTGTTTTTCTGAAAAACAACACTGGTTTGAGTTTTCAATTGCATTTCAAATAAACAAATATGTATCTATGATACTTACATATGCCTTTTTTCCTCTTTTCTCTACAAATGCACGCCTCTCTTTGAGTCTTGAGTGACTGCATGCACAGTGCAAAAGTTTTTTTTAAAAAAAAGTAAAGAGAAAACAGTATCGATTAATGTCAAAGAAAGGGGAAAAAAAAACCCTAAGAGAAAAAGAAAGAAAAAAAAGAGAAAAGAAAAAAATAACTTCCCTCTGCCCTTCCTTTCCATGCCTAGCGGTGCTTTGAAAGAGGGATGGAATTCTCTTTCCTAAAAAGCATGGTTCTGACCCAACTCTGTGGCCTTTGCGCTAATCCGTCTCGCTCACACCAATTGCAGGCCGAGAAGGTGCTTCAGTTTGAACCGGGAACAAAAAATGTGACTTCACTGCTACTGGAAGCCAAAGAAGTGGAGGCGCGGGTGATTATCCTCTCCGCAAGGTAAGCCCTCGACCTAACTGCCACCTGCCTTTCAGCGTTCAGGCCTTGCGCACAGAAGCCGGAGCCACTGGGTCCAACGATGTCCTGGCCCCTTATTCCTGGGGGGCCACCGCGAGAAGCAGTAGGAGCGAGGTAAATGATACACCGGATGGGAATCCAGTCAAAGTCAGATTGGTTCCTGGCACAGTCACAAGGGAAACCCACAGGCCCACAGACAGGACAGGAAAAAGCTGCCCACCTGGCCAGGTGACAACAGGTTTAGAGTTCAAACCAAGGAGCTATAGAACGGGAGGAGTCCCACTGGGACCTGCACCGTCTTCCTTCTAGTAAGCAAACCCTTTGGCTCCTTTTCGGGCTCCTCTCCACCACACCACACCCGGCCTCTGGAAACTGCAGTGGGGAGGTCTTCTCCTCCCCACCCTCTCCTCTACGGTAGCCACACACGATTGAGCAATCGATGGGGCCGAGGGCAGAGCTAAGACCCCTGCTTAATATCAGTTCTGTCTTGATCTGGCACAGTGTTGTTCTCTGCCCTAATGTTGTGGTTCGCCAGCAGCAGGTGCAGACAGCTGAGGTCTCGGAGAGCGAGGACTCAGATGAGGGGCCTGCGTGTGATGCAGGGATGGGGCCAGGACTATCGGAGAGTGGGGTGCTGCATTCCCAGCCCAGAACTAATTATAAACAGTTCCCCAAGATAAGCACACGCCTTTCAGTGCTGTGGAATGCTGCCACAAACAGAAGTATCCAAATTAATTATAACAGAAACCACCCAAAGTACCAGAAAAAAAATGACCAGAATAAACAGAGCTTCAAGGAGGAGTTGGAATCTAATTGAACTGCTTTGTTTCCTGCAAAGCTTTCGTCATCTTGGTCTGACTTTTATCCCTTAGGGGAGGGGCAATCACCTCCCAGCCTTACTCCCAAGTCACCACTTCTGCTTCAACTGCTCTTGCCTTCTAGCAGCTCTGTGCACACGTGCACTGGGAACAGGCTCCCCTGGGTCCTCTGCCTCGCTGCTGCCAGACTCCAAAGGCTTCGAAGGCAGCACCCCACTCCCAGATGGTCCTGGCCCCATCCCTGCATTGGACCCTTGTCTCCAGACCCCCGAGTGGTCCCTTTTCTTCCTCACTGTCCAACTCTGCTGCCATCTGCACTGGCTTCCGGCAAACCACAACACCACCCAAGAATTTGCCTGTTCAGTCAGTTTGTGAGAGCGTTCTTCCCTTAAGGCCTCCCTCTTGAAGCGGGCCTAAGGCAGACAAATAGAAGGTCCCACCTTTGGACTCCTGCCTTCTGCACTGGAGAAACCTTTGGGAGCTTCCCTCTCTTCCTGAGATCTCCACTAAGGTAGAGGGGAGCACTTGGCAGACGCGTCCACGAAGGGGAGCATTAAGGAAGGGCAAGAGATTCCTTGCCAGTGACATCGCTGTTCTCTTCCAGCGAGGACGATGCCACCACCGTGTATATGGCAGCAGCCAAAGAAAACATGACCGGTCCGGGTTACGTATGGCTGGTGGGAGAAAGGGAGATCTCGGGCAACGCCTTGCGCAATGCGCCAGAAGGTACCATTCCTCGTCCTGACTCTCCTCTCAAAAGCCACGCAGCTTCTGCCTTCCTCTTGGCTGTCTGGCTCTGCTGAGGTTTCTGTTCTGGGTTGCCAGAGGAGGGAATTTACAAGAGTGGGGGGGTGGTCAGCAGTAAGGGGGCAAACTGGAGCCCTGCCTTGCCCAGCGTGGACAGAATGGCTTCACGGACAGATTCATCTTCCCCTTTTTATAGTTGTACCATTTCATGCGGTAAGGTCGATCAGCTGAAGCCCAAAGGCAACGCTACTCCAACAAGCAGATTCTGGGGACAAATAGCTCAGCCTCACTGCCCTTGGTGCCCACAGAGTCCTTGGCCAGCGGAAATGGAGCTCACCGGAGGGGGGTCTTCTGACTCTCTTCTCTTCGACCATTTCAGGACTGATTGGTCTACAGCTCATGAATGGGAAGAACGAATCTGCACATATCAGAGATGCTGTGGCAGTGGTGGCCCAGGCTGTGCACGACTTGTTTGAGAAAGAGAACATCACCGACCCACCCCGAGGCTGTGTGGGGAACACTAACATCTGGAAGACTGGGCCCCTCTTCAAAAGGTAGGGGTCCTCCTCCTGCCCATGCTCTTCGGGCCGTGGGCCAGCGGCAAAGGCCGCTGGCCATGGGCCAAGCAAATCCCCCAGGAGGAGAGAGGGAGGGCCGGCTTCTGAGGGTTTACATCACTGAGTGACGGGGCCTGTTCCAACGCTCGCCTACCTGCCCAAGACCACCCCGAGTACGTCCCCCAGACCCTCCCAAGAGGTGAAGGGGGCAGCCCGCAGAGCCTAAATGAGATGACTTCTCTTAGGGTGCTGATGCATACCAAATATGCAGAAGGCGTGACTGGCAGGGTGGAGTTTAATGAAGACGGGGACCGAAAATATGCCAACTACAGCGTCATGAATCTCCAGAACAACAAACTGGTGCAAGTCGGAGTCTACAACGGGAGCCACGTACGTACAAGCCCGTTTACTGAATCTTCCTAATCCAGCTCTGGAAAGGGAGGCCCTGAATTGGGGGCCTCCTGTGAATTTCCAGAGTGTGACAACGCAGCATAGACACATACAGTCACACGCGGCCATAATTAGGGGCTGCAGCCTCTGCCCAGCTCACTTTGTAACCCTCCTGCCTGAACTGCATCTTCACAGTTTCTGCCCAACGACCGAAAGATTGTCTGGCCGGGAGGGGAAACAGAAACACCGCAGGGTTACGAGATGTCTACAAAACTAAAGGTAGGTTCCCGCCTGGTGGCGGCCATGCCACCAGTGGGGGGAAGCCCTGTGGCCTCATTTCCAGCAAGAGAATTAAAAGTGGGTTCTTGGGGGGGGGCTGCCCTGCCGGGTTCACCCAACAGGGAGAAACGGAGGGTGTCCCTGGCAGTCAGTGGGGGTGGGTGGAGGGTGGGCTCATTGTGGCCACCGCTTTCCCTGCTGAACCTTACTTTTCCCGAGCAGACATTTATTGATTTGATTTGATTTGATTTGATTTGTCAATCGCTTACAAGGTAATAGGTATAAGTATAAATATGAGTAAGAATACAGGAAATGGGTACAAATAAATGGGGACGATAGGACAGGGACAGTAGGCATGATTGTGCACTTATGCACGCCCCTTGCAGACCTCTTAGGAATGGGGTGAGGTCAATAGTGGATAGTTTGAGGGTAAAGGAGTGGTGGGGTTTGAGGATGTAATAACGGAGTCAGGTCGTGCATTCCAGGCATTGACCACTCTGTTGCTGAAGTCGTACTTTCTGCAATCAAGTTTGGAGTGGTTTACCTTGAGTTTGCATCTGTTGTGTGCTCTTGTATTGTTGTGGTTGAAGCTGAAGTAGTCATTGACTGGTAGGACATTGTAGCAGATAATTTTGTGTGCTATGCTTAAGTCCAACCGTAGGCGGCGTAGTTCAAGGTTGTCCAAGCCCAAAATTTCAAGCCTGGTGGTGTAGGGTATTCTTTTGCGAGCAGAGGAGTGGAGGACTCTTCTCGTGAAATACTTCTGGACTCGCTCAGTTGTATTAATGTCCGATATACAGTGCGGATTCCAGACAGATGAGCTGTATTCGAGTATTGGTCTAGCAAAGGTTTTGTATGCTTTAGTTAGCAATTGGATATTTCCGGAGGCGAAGCATCGTAAAATTAGATTTACAACTCTTAATGCCTTTTGGGGAATGCTGTTACAGTGAGCTCTGGCGCTTAGGCCATTTTGATATGAATACTCCGAGATCCTTGACAGAGTGAGGGTCGTCAACGAGGTCATATCCGCCTAGTTTGTATTGTACTTTAGAGCAAGGGGCTCCTCCAAGGCTTACCAAGCTTTCTGGCCTCTCTTTCCACAGATAGTCACAATCCACCAGGAGCCATTTGTCTATGTGAAGACCACCCTGGCCGACGGGAAGTGCAAGCCGCTGCTCAACAGCACGGGGGGATTGGTGCAGCAGGTGCTCTGTACAGGGCCCAACGAGACCTTGCCAGGTGAACCGCTCAGCCCGGAAGCTCAAAAACCCCAACTGAACCTTCTTCCCACCCACCCCCACGCCCCAAAGACCCACCACTTCCAGGTGAAGGACTGTGGCTCCCACTTCCTCTCCATTGGCAACGTTCACTGCCAGTAGCTTAATAAGTTGAATAGTGAGGGACCTCCAAGGTATTTGATACGATGGAGCCTCAGTGGTGCAGTGGTTAGAGTGCAGTACTGCAAGCTACTCCCACTGCAATTTGGTAGATCGAATCCCACCAGGCTCAAGGTTGACTCAGCCTTCCATCCTTCCGAGGTGGGTAAAACGAGGACCCAAATTGTTGGGGGCAATAAGCTGACTCTGTAAACCACTTCAAGAGGGCTGTAAAGCACTGTGAAACGGTATATAAATCTAAGTGCTATTGCTATTTCCTTTATTTGCATTCCAATAATATTTGATAGAGAATTCAGTTTTCTTTGGAACGAAGAGTAGGGTAATTGCAGTGCTTTAAATCAACATGCAGAACATTTACATGGCTGTCCAATATCCTTCAAGGAGTCTAATTCTGCCCACCATTTCCCTGCCCTTATTCCTATCTTTTCCTTAGCCGCATCACGAAGGGAAACAGGAAGTAGCTATTCTGAAAGCTCCCTAGTGCACATGGGATCTTCAGAGTGTGTTTATCTTCTTTCTTTCTTTCTTTCTTTCTTTCTTTCTTTCTTTCTTTCTTTCTTTC